AAATGGCACGCTTAATCAATACTGTAACAAGAAACCATAATGTACATCTGTGCGCGTACGCGAGTGTGTTTGTGTGTCATTAGTACGGTTAAGAGGGTCACAAGGTGGCAATAGACCTGATGATATCATCATTATATCATCCCCAGCTTTACTGCTGCTTTCTTTTGATTTTTATTGGGTTATTCAGTTGGAGGAAAACAGGTAAACACACGGATGGGAGTTCATCTATAAAGGTGAAAAACAGAAAAATAAAGTAGATGGTGTTCAAAGTTACTAGAAATTAAATCTTTGTTGTGTGCAGGGAAAACTTTAAGCCCAGTAAATTAAAAAAACACCTCTGAAGTCTCCATTGGCAGCTAATAGCCCCTTTGGCTCTTCGTGTGTTGATTAATTAATAGATTATGTGCGACTAGGCCTTATCAGCATCGCTTTAGTGAATAAAACCTTAAAAAAATTGTAAAGACTGTTTCTTAGGGGTTGTTTTGCATCTCTGTAGGTACTCTGTATCTGTAGTTATTCCATAATCGAGTCCCTTTGCTTCACGGTGTGATTGTTCTTTTGTGCCTACCTGCAAGTCGTTTTTTTACATTTCTGTTTTCACTTTGATTTCGTTTCAGTTATGTTCCAGAGTCTGCTTGCTTTCAGTTTAGTTTTTAGTGTTAAAAATGTAGCTAATATTGTTTTTTCCACCAAACTTTTAGCTTTTATTTTTCTCACGTCGTAGTTGTTTTCACAACTTTTTTCTTCCCATAAGCAGAAGAAACTTTTGCATCTCTTTGTATCTCTGAGTGGGCTTTTCTCTGTGACTTTTCTGTTGTTTTGAGTATCTGCAGTCATCGTGCATCTCTTTCCACAGTTGTTTTTGCATCTCTTTTGAGTTAGCGTTCACTTGATTACACTGACAACTACAACAATCATTTCAAACAAAGGCCCAGAGGACCCTTTTGAGCTATTCTGAGGCAGACATATGATTTTATCAAAACGGACAACTGTTTTTTTCATCTACAACCTTTTACACTATGATTTATTTATCACCAGTATATAACGCAGCATCACTATTATCGGCAGCCTATTTAAAGCCCCTCTGAACAGCTTCTCCGGGCAGAATCAGGCCTCCCTGTCTTAGATATGTGCTAATGTCCTCGGTTGTACAGTTGTATCACATCCACGGCACCCCGTAATTCTGACTCTGGGCTGCCACACTTGTGTTAAGGCCAGCTGTTCTCTTCTTGGCCTCAACTGCAGTCTCGAGTTGGCACACACACGCACGCGCATGTAGTCATCCTCCAAAACAACCATTACCGACAACCTCACGGACACCGACAGAGCTACGGCAGTAAAGTGCCGTTACTGCTGTGAAGATACAGCGGTGGCGGCGGTGCTAACTTACCATTCTCGTGTAAATATCCCGAGTAGCGAGCGGCTCTTTCGGTCACTCCGCGGCTCCACGCTCGGTGTCCCCGCTGAATTCTGCTGTGTGAGTCGGCAGCTTCTTGCTGTCTTTCACAACACTCCCATGTTCCCAGTCCATACTTTTCTCATGACCGCCCGCCTCACTTCGTACCGCTCTCTCCGTGTCCTCGAGCTCCGCGAACGCGCGCCCGCTCATCGAGTTGCAGGACGGAACTTGACGTGCGCGCGCGTGTCCGGCTAGCTTTTGACGTCAATGCATATTTCGTCTCGCTCGCTCGCTCGCGCGGAGCAGCCGGCGGTCGCGAGCCTCTTGTACGCAGTGAGGAGAGGAAAATAACTGAATGGACGCTTCGGAAGTCCAAGAATTATGTAACGGCTGAGGTGTTTCGCTCTGTAAACAGGAGCAGGGAACAAAGAGATATAGCATAGCGTACTGACAGGACAGGGGCCCCAGGACAGACGCACAGCAGGGCCCTCGACCTTACAACATTTCAAAGATGTCATGAGTCTTTGTGCTGGTTTCGTTTTTCTGTGCAACCGCTTTTTTCCCCTTCTATCTATAGTTCCTTTATGCTTCTCTGTGCCACCTCTTTGTAATTCTTTTCATTAGTTTCAGTGTTATTTTTGAAGATTTTACTTGTCTTTTTGGTTGTCTTTTGGATCCTTGAAGGGCAGTTCCCAGTTCCCATACAGCCACTTTATGTTTCAGTGTGACAATTTTTGCATTTGTTTGTTTTCTTTGCTTTTTATATTCTTTCTCTCTTCGTAGTTCAAATGTAAATGCACTATATTGCCAAAAGTCTTCATTCACCAATCAAAATCCTTGAATTTCTGGTGTTCCAAACACTTCAACAGATGCATAAATTCAAGCACCTACGCATGCAGACTGCTTCTACAAACATTTGTGAAAGAATGGGTCGCTCCCAGGATCTGAGTGAATTCCAGCATGGTACCATGATAGCAACCATAAATATTCCACAGTAAACTGTCTGATATTATAACAAAGTAGAAGAGGTTTAGAATGGCAGCAACTAAGCCATGATATACTAGTCAACATTCACAGCAAGTACAATCACAGCAGATACTGAGGTGCATGGTGCACAGAAGTCACCAACTTTCTGCAGAGTCACTCGCTACAGAGCTCCAGACTTCATGTAGCCTTCAGACTAGCTCCATAACAGTTCACAGAGAGCTTCATGCAATGGGTGAGCCATGGCCTTAGATGGTCTTAGATCATCAAACCCAATTCAAAGCGTCAGATGCAGTGGTGTAAAGCACGCAACCACTGGGCTCTAGGAGTGGAGATGTGTTCTCTGGGGTGATGAATCACACTTCTCTGTCTGGCAGTCCAATGGATGAGTCAGGGCTTGGCGGTTGCCAGGAGAACAGTACTCTCTGACTGCACTGTGCCAAGTATAAAGTTTGGTGAGTGGGCATTATGGTGTGGGGTTGTTTTTCAAGAGTTGGGTTCGGCCCCTTAGTTCCAGTGAAAGGAACTCTTAATGCTTCAGTGTACCAAGACATTTTGCACAATTTGACGCTCCCAGTTTGGGGATGGCCCCTTCCTGTTTCATCAAGACTGCGCACCAGTGCACAAAGCAAGGTCCATAAACACATAGATGAGCATTGGGGTGAAATGGCATTTCGGTATACTGTGTATATTATACTGACAATAAAGTCCTTGAATCTTGAATATGTGTGAATACTTTTGGAAATATAGTTTAGCAGATGTGTCCTACTGCCTTGGCCCTTCCAACCTAAAATAAGTCAGAATTCTTTGCAATGTTTTTGTATTTGCATCTATTTAGGAGAGTTTTGTGTCTCTTTGTAGGGCAATTTATGTATCTGTGTGAATTGTTTTGCATTTGTGATTGTTTTTTTGCCTCTTTTTTTATGGCATTAGTTTTCGCTTTGTGGTCACTTTCTGTCCTTTTTTGTAGCAGATCTGTCCCACTGATCCCCTGACCAGTTGTCATCCCGTGACCATATGACTTTATTCATTTGACCGGAAATCACACAGAGTGACTCAGAAAGCCTCGAGGGAAATCAGGGCTTAAAGTTGACCCATTCTTCTTTTTCTTGCTTTCTGTCATTTGCTACAATAATGGATGATCACATTAAATGTGATAGTTAGTTTCAAGCAATTAGGCCAGTTTATGTTAAACAATGTGAGGCAAGAGCTCTATTTGTTATTATCTTGGATCTCTTTCATTTTGCTGGGAGCTGGTATCGTCGTCATCTGAGGCACACAGCTTTGACTGTGAACACTGAGCTGATTTGATGTTCAAATTTTCTGTTTGCGAGGAGAAGCCATTCAGTAGAAGGCTGTCCCCTCAGGAAGGGAAGAGCCAAAACCTTTAAATGGTTTCTTTCAGAAAAAGTATAAGATTGCAGTTGAACATAAATAAGGATTATTTTAGAAAAGCTACTCTCCAAGTCCAAGAATAGAAATTGTTGTCACAGTCAACATGAAAACAACAGATCCACTGACATTTTTAAAAAAGTCTCAATTTATAATTTTCCTTATTCAGAAAGAAAATCTGTGCTGTCTCTTTAAAGAATCCAAATAGTATTATTAATGATGTCATGCATAAATATAAGTTTAAAGGTATATGTTAATTTGAACTGGTGTGTAAGATATTTTCATTGTTGAATGAAGATTTTATTTGATTTTATTTGATTTATTTTTTTGTTGTGTTTGGTTTTGAATGTGAAGCATTGTTACTCTGCAAAGCTGCATTTGTCTGCAAGATGATCTCATCCTAGCTGTTCTTTGTTTCATCAAACCAGACAGCCAACCAGCAGAATAGTGGGGACATCTAGTGGTTTCTTTCTTTCTTTCTTTCTTTCTTTCTTTCTTTCTTTCTTTCTTTCTGCAAAACCCCCCAAAAGCATGTGATTCAAGCAGCACTATTGTTACATCAGGGTTACACTATTATTCCTCTTTCAGAATCATGTGAGATCCTGAGATGCAGTGTATTTTTTATGTCCTCTGCAATGGACATTTTACATCTTTTGAACTTATTGAGCTTACCTACTAAGTCCTGATGTGCTCAATAGAGGATATCTTTGGCTTTCCAATGATATCTCACGTGTTTGGGTGGCCTCTTTTAGCTCAAAAGAGGCAGGAAATAACAAAAAAGGTTAAACTGAAAGGTATTACTGTCTTTTTTCATGTAATTTCAGGTGGCTTCAGGTTCCGTGACTCCATAAAGATTTTCCTTCAACTTGGATTTGAATTAGCAGCTTATTGGTGCGTCTGTTCAAGTCGACAAATAATGTTAAAACAAATGAAGCCACTGGGTTTAACTGTGGATCCATCTGGTGGTTAATTGGCGCTCTAGCAGAGTCTCTGGACTGCATAGTAACTTTTCTTCTCTTTGACATAAGTACACAGAAACATAGCGTGGGCAACGGTCTGAGATACTAATATTATCAAATAAAATCTGCACTTGATTATGACTTCTACTTTAAATAGTGTGAAGGAAACCTCAGACTGCAGTGTTCAGTGATTTACTGACACAAGGTAAGCAATGTTTAGAGTAAAATACACATTTTTATTGTTCAAACACATAACCAATGTTACATTTGTTGAATATTTATAACTGGTAATAATCCAACCCCACTATTAATTACCCCCAATATTATTAATAATTAAATAAAACACAAAGAATAAAGTGATAAATAATACAGAAGTGATACTTTAGATTGTATTACACATCAGATGTTTATAACAAGTAATAAATTATTCTGTTCATCTTTGTCTGAGCATAAAAATTAGATTTGATTCATTGGAATAATTTAAATTATCGGATAAATTATGACATATTAAGAAACGTTAGATAATTCTAAAGTGCCTTATGCTGATGTTGTTACACAGCCATCTTATGTAGGAATGTTGAATTTTTTAAAAAAAGAAATCTTACAGAAATCTTTGCTATAGTGTAATATTAGTGTAATACACAGTGTTAATTATCCTGAGGTACCACAGGAAAAAAAAGATGAGTTCCAAGAGAAAAAATAAATCTCATCCCTCCTCCTCGGCACAGACACAGTGCACGCTCCTTTAGAGCTGCATACGATCCACCATCACAGTGTGAAATCAGTATCTGCAAGCAGGGCCTCTGTCAGTCTGTCTCGCAGGATCTCCTTAGTTGAGTAAAAAGGCAGATTCAGAATAGAGTGACATGTCAGGGCCTCAGGGAAGTGCTGATCACAGGTGCCGCTCTGAATTCGTGTAACCCGAACCTCCATATGGACCTGGTCCATGCCAAGAATTGGAGCTCTTCTATAACCAGTCAGGAACCCTGAAGAACAACAGTGGAAGGAAAATCTTATTACAAACTTATTGTAACAAATCTTGTTACAATAAGTACATAGGGTTTCTTCTGACCTAGCCACTTCATTCAAATAGACTAGAATGGTTACAGTATAGAACAGAATAGAACAGACTGTAAGCAGAAATGTAAAACTGTTTACAAGATGAGTTTAAATAAATTCAATCTGGTTAGTTGGTAATCAATATCAGAATTTTGTGACAATGCTAATCAACATCCAAAAGATTCTCAGAATGTATCAAGAAGATGGAGCTGCTCATCATTTCCGTACAGTCTTTGTAAGGCAGTATTTTTTCATGTTTGTCTCACTTTTATGTAAACTAATAAATACGCAGTTTTTAAATGATGATTTCATTTTTAAGGGAAAAGATTATTCAGACCTACCTGACCCCTATGTGACTGCCCACTAATCCCTTGGCAGCAAGTGTTTATGCACTAACTGGCTGCTTGGGTCTTGGCATCTAGGACTGATATGCTGTAAAAAGTTTTGTCTTTTTACAGCATTTTGTGATTTGTTTCTTTGCATTCACAACCCTGCGTTTTGGTTCCACATCTAGTTCTGTTCATTATATATTGTATTTCTTGTGCCCTTCATGTCCCTGTGTCTGAGCTGGTCTATTTGTTTGCCTTGTATCCCTTTGTGTCAAGTTAGTTGTGATTCCTCAGTGTTTATCTGTTTGATTTTGAGAGCCTTAGTTTTCCTCTTAGTTTAGTGTTTCTAGTTTTACACCTTCTTTATTTGCTTATCTGGCTTCTGTTTCCACTTAAAGTTTGTTGTATTCTAGCTTTCTTTTTATTTATCGTGCTTCCCTTGTGTTTAGTTACTCACTTTATGACTTTTTTCATTTTTGTTAGTCCTTTGCCTTGTTTGCACTGTGTCTAGTTTAGATTCCCTTGTCTCTTCCTGCTGTGTCTACGAGCTGTTTCCCCCTTCTCTAAATACCTTGTGTAGAAATTGTCTGGATCTTCCCACGGTCCTTTGTCATGTCTGTTTTAGATCATGTCAAAGATTTAACTTTGACTATGAAGCAGGCAAATACTTTTACACAACACTGTACATAACACAAGTCCTTAATATTGCCCACATTTTAATAACATATCACAGGGAAGATTTCAACAGTGAAAAGCTGTAGAAATTTGTCAAGTACTTACGAAGGAAATCTTTCCTCTGCTCTTCAGTTAGTTCGTCAAACACCTCCCAAAACATCTTTATGGTGGAATGGCGAACATGCTCCAACTCATAAACGGTGTTCTGTAGACAGTGAAAATTATTTGTTTGCAAATGAGTTGATAAAGTCAGGCACATATACAGTACACAGGTATTATGTTGCAGCTGTGAAACTACAGCCTGTGTCTGTTTGGCTGACTGTACCTGTTTGAACTTTTCCCAGTCATACACGTCCTGGCCGACCAGCACTCCCTGCAGCTCCTCTGGTCGAAACAGCCTCACCAAATCCTGGTCACACACCAGGAAGAAGCCTCGCTTGAACTCCTGGAACAGACTCTCCACTGATGTGTTGAAGGCATGATTCACATAGGCCTCCACAAACTCCTTCCTGATTAATAGGGAAAATTTTAAATCAGCAAATATTTCACAAAGACAGAGCCGCTGCAGACGAACCTCACAAACACTTCATGTTTTATATGCTTACTTATTTTGACTTGTCAGTGGCTTCCCAGGAGTTTGAGGATCCAGGTCAACATCTATCCCATCCCAGTTTATCTGTAAATTAGTTATAAATCAGATGAGTTTAGCTGCAAAACCTGAGAATGAGACAGATTACTGATCATCTTCTATAGTAAAACACATACCAAAAAGTCCATGTAGAGATTATCCAGAACATCATCTTCATAGTTTAAGATGGTCTGCAGATTCCTTTAAAGAAATTAAAACAAAAAGTTGTAATAAAAGAAGTTCAACTATGTACATTTTACAGCAGTCACAAGTTACTGTAACCACCACAACTTGAAATACATTTTCTTCTGCTTGTCCGGGGCCAGGTTGTGGGACCAGCAGCAGCATGTGTTACTGAAATGAAATGGATACTTACCGTCCAACAGTCGGGCTGAACTCCATCATATCCTCCAGTGTCGGCTCTAAACTGAGCAGCTTCTTGAACAGAACCAGTGGGAATGGTAAGTGTATGATACACTGGTTGTACAAGGCCAAGCCACACAGTAGTCCAAACAGGAAGAAGTTTCTCTTGCTCTCCTCTGTTGCCTGCATTAATAAAAGTTCACTTTGGTTCTATTATTGCTTATTGTTAAAACTTTAATCCTTTAACCAATTTTATACAGTTGGTGGGCTCAGTTTTAAAGTCTTACATTGGAGGGAAACCATGCCAGGGTTTTGGAGTCATTGAGCATGAACATCCCAGATTCTTCTGACACCATTTTACGAAACAGGTGGTGAAAAAGGTCTCGTTTGTAGACATCTTTGATGTTTGGATCCTCATCAAAATAGACCTGCGAAAATGTAAGAGTTGCGGAAGTTTTTGATGAGAACAGTTGCAGAAGAGTCTGGATATACTTTAATCATCAGGGGAAAATATTCACCACAAGTGGCTTCTTGCAGGCGCTGTGAGGAGCAGCTTCCAGCTCTCTGAAGGTGCCTTCGAAAAGTGACGCACGCTGCAGCCGCAGTTCAAAGAAATTTGGATTTGACAGAGGATTCAATTTATCAGGCAAACCAAAAGCCACCTGGTGCTGTCTCTACAGTAGAGATAAAAAAATAAAATATTGTTAAAAAATTATTTTTCTCTTTGAATGACATTTTATTGAATACAGTAAGTCTTACTTCTTATAATGGCATTTATTTTGCTGTGCACTGGGGGGCAGCACAGTAATCCTAATAACAATGACTACTGCCTCACAAGATTACTGCGACTAAATTTGCTGATAGTTTCATAATTGAAGAACAATATTATCATTTGACACACTTCCAGTCACCTGATGAATAATCTGTCTCATTTAAGCACTGCTCAGGTTATCAGGCTGCTGACTAATTAAATAACTCCTCCTGTTTTTTTTGTTTTTTTTAAAATATTGCCGGTAGTGTAAAGCAAATTTGTGGAAGATAAAGCAGTTGCTTGGTTCAGGCTTAAGTTACCTGAGTGCATTCAGAATTCATGTCGAACACCGTTTTCTTTGATTGCAGATCCATCACGATTGGGAACTTGCACAGGATGAGCGGCTCAGCATTTGCATACTGAAATAGAAAAATCCACATAGATCATTTAGGTTTACCAACAAATGAAAACCATTTCTTTGTAATATCAATATCAACATTAGGCATTGACTAAAAGGGACAGAATCAAAGGTTAGAATAATAGAATAACAAAGTATGACATAGTAGATTACACACAGACACACTACTTTTACATTTTACCTTTTGTTGTGACTGTAAAAGCCAATGTTGCAAATCCTCAAAAAGGAATGCTTCATCAGCTGACACACAAAAATCACTTTCTGGTATCCTTCGAGTTTCTGCAACCCTGCTGTTGGCCTTTAAAGGAAACATTTGACTTTAAATTTATGTTTTTTTCAGGTAAAATAACTGACAGATTAAGGCTTAAGAGGGAGTAAAATGACTGTTTTAGGATATTTATACTAACATTGTACATATATTGGAGGACTAGCAGCAGATTTC